CAGAAATATTGTTGGAATGAAATCAAAATTTTTTTATTATAATCTGGTAGATAATTTCATGGCATTTATTTTTTTAATATGATTTCCGACATATGTCTGCCTCACCTACGAGTTACATGGTACATTCGATCAGTCCAATTTTCGACTACTTTTTTGACGGTGTCAGTGGCGACAATGGTGGCATGAACATAGTTCTATAAAAAATAACAGAGAGGCGTTAAGTTGCTTGAACGCGAGGGTACGTTGGCCAGTTAACAGGATCACTTGTGGAAATAAAGTTGTCAAAAAATTACTTTTGCAATAAATCGATTGTTAAGCATGCTGTATGGCAACTTGCGCGGTGTTTTTGGATAAGAATAAACGGGGTTCTAGCTCCCACTTGAGCAGAGTACTGCGACCATGATTGATCTTTTTGGAAGCTGCTGACAAAAATTCAGACAGCATGCTTCGATAGCGCTCACCATTTACCGTAATGGCAGATCGTTCCTCATATCGAAAGAAATAAGTACTATTCTTAAGTGTACACAAGAGTTCCCGATCAAGTTTCCTGTTCTTAGTTCTCAGCCGGATAGCCACAAAGTCTCATTCATCTCACGAATGTTTAGGCAGATTAAGTTGTTGTGTCAACTTACCTGACAGTAATCTCAGTTCTGTTCTGCTGAGCAAGTTTGTCTTACACTAATATGTTATAGATACATACATATTTTTGAGCAAAACAATATATTTGATTTTACAAAACAACTAACTTTTTCTCCTCCGCTAATTTTTTTATCATTGCAACTCTGTCATTTTCGATTTAAAAAAATATTTTCTCAATGATTTACTTAACAAAATCTTGAGATGTTCTTTCATTATTCAGTTTATTTTCGATATATTATTGTAAACTTTTCAGATTATTGATTTGTGTGATGTGATTTTATATTTTAAAAATTTAATTATTAATACTGTGATTATCTTTGAGCTAAAGTATCTTTGAGCGAAACGTGCAAAAGTACATTTGACAATATTTACTTACTGCATCTGTTCGAATATATAAATTTTAATTATAATTCTTGATGTACAATTATATGCATCTATTAGATTAGGTTAGGTTTGGTTGGAGTGGGGATCTATACCAAAACCCACTGACGTTGAATTAATTGCTCGTTGTGATCATCATACGGACAGCGCTTCCTTATTATAGTGAAAACGGATCAAACCAACAAGTTTATAAACTTGGCGAAGTCCTGAATTTTGCAAGATGAATGTTGAGCCAGATTGGTAAGAATAGGTGATAAAAAGATTTTTAAGCTTCAATTAGTTAAATATGCATATTGACACAAAGTTCTACGCGGATTTTTTCTTCTCTTCAACAGCACAATCATGCTCACCGCGTACTAGGAAGACATTCTATTAGACTGTGTCAACCCTATAATGATATATATCTATTAAATCAATAAAATATGTATGATCATTACTCCCAATTATTTTTTATGACTCGAATGGCTTAAAAAGTGAGACCAGTTCGCAAGTTAATTCTGAAATAGACACTGACCCAACTAAGGGGTACCGTTCAAATGATTTGTCTTGTCTTACTAAATATAGTATAGTGGGCTTACGTTTATTATGTATTGTGTCCGATGTCTAATTCTTTGTTTTCATACTATATTATTATTATTATTATTATTATTATTATTATTATTATTATTATTATTATTATTATTATTATTATTTATTGATTCATAAAAGATTTTCACTTCTTCTTCGGACAGAAGTGCTTTATCAAAAAAAAATACGCCTATGTTCTCTGAAAATTGGACATACACCAATAATATGACATATATTTTCTATTTCATGACGATTACACAATGAACAATCACGATCAGATGTATTAAACTCTCTACCGTTCAGAGTAAAAAGACCGCCTCTACATTTAAAAAGTAGACTCGATATATGCTGAGTGTTTTCGAAATAAAAATTATGCATAATGTCATATTGTAGCTGTGGGTACATGTCATGAGATCCCGACCTAGCATTCGTTACAAAAGAATCGTGTTCCCCCCGTTCATATAAAGTTATAATATTTTTGTGCAATAATTTAAGGTCCATTCTCCTAAAACTGGTTATTGAAACACCCAGTTCTAAACACATATTTTCCCAATCTTTGGCCCAATATATACCTTTACTAATTATAAGTTCCGCTAATATTCGAGGAAGCCTTGTGGGGGGGAGATTAAGAATTTTTCTTACATATGCGAAATGTATTTGTATTGTGTCTAAGAACTGCGTCGGTAAACCCGTTTCTAAGTGGAGCATATAGTTGGGGGTGTTAGTGGGTAGAAATAGTATCTTTTTTATAATACTATATTAGTATCGATATTATAATTAACACTTTATCTAGGTCTTCGAAGACATTTTCTTGCCTAAAACGAACAACAATTATAATTCTCTTACGTGTGAAATGTTTTGTATAGCAGGATCTATGGTGTCGTTTTGCTGATAAAGCAAGGAAGTTATACATTTACTATACTACCTCAAATAAATTTATATTAATGATTAATAATTGTAATTATTATTTTGTTTATTGAACTCATACTATTAATTGAATATCGAATTACATTTGCTGACGTTGGGGTTTGCTGCATAATTTTATGTAAAAGGCAGTACAGGTAAGTTGTAAACAAACCGAGGTTCAGTGGTCTTTTGGGTTCAACGCTTTACAAAACGCTGTTCTTGGCACGTAGTCATAAATTTTGGACATAATTATATGAAAATTACATTTAAAAGTAAACACCATATAAAAAGTGAAGAAAGCAAATTATTTGATATACATTTTAATAAATATGAGCATAGAAATTCAGTTGTAATTAAATACAAGTGAGTGTTACGATGGAACAATCTATATTTAATCAGATATAATATCCTGCGATTATTAGAGATTTAATGTTATTATTTCAGTTTTAAACATCTGTAAATATTCTTTTATACATAGAAAGAAATTACTGTTAACAACTACTGTTACTACCTAATTATCGTTTGATATTATTAAAAGTTATATATAAGCAATAACATCATAACAGAATATATATAATATATATATATAGCTGTCGGAGAATATTTGAGTGGTTTGCAAATCAATATCGACATCAATATATACAATGGAGTCCAATAAAAGGAACTTAAAAGAGAATGCATATATCTTTAATGCAGTTCAAGTTATTAAAAAAGATAAAAACACAGCATCTAAATTGTCGGAAAGATGAGATTGTGATACATTTAGGAACTTTGTGTAATAGTTTAAAGAGTTTTGTGTGAAAACTTAAATCTAAAGTGAAAATAACAGTGCAATCTATTTTGTGGTATAAAGTGCAATTAAGTAGAATGTGTCTATTGATAGACAAGTTCAAATGTTTTTGTTATATAGTAGAGAAGCATGAAAAACCTCATATTTTCTATCGTCATTTTCGACTATATTTTCTTTTCAAAGTGAAATTTTATTTGAAGCCAAGATTATGGTTAAGAAATATTAACAAACGGGTTCAGTATCCGCGTATGAGTTTCAATAAAATAAATAAGGTCTGGAAAATTCCATCATAAAATATTACTTAAAGAATTGATTCAAAGATATAACATAAATATATAACCGAAAGGTATAACCTAAATATATAACCTAAATATTTAACCTACTGATGTTAATCAATAACCGTTATTTTGTTGGGCTTGTATTAGAGACTTTCTCCAGGTGTAGCAAATTCGTTTAATAACATTTAATCTTCATTGGATTGTTTTTTTTTTAAAGTAGTGCAGTATCGAAGTAGAAAATTTTAAAGTATTTATATGCGAAACCTAACTTACGAATAATTTAGAAAAAATTTTGAGTATAATTAAGGTATCCGTAAAATTGTTCAAACACTTTTCAAAAAATCCAATCTGACCATTCTAACTTATGAACTGACTTAAGTCAGTTAAGTTAAGTCAGATATGTAAGGTATCAAATTAATGGATATTTATTGGACTTATTAGACTAAGAAAATTGGTGTTTAAGTTAAGCTATTTAGATGGATCGCTTTTGAGGTATGGACTTAGGTTTAAAGTTATATTGGGTTAAACTCTTCTAACTCTTCTCCCAAGAGTTAAAGGATTTAATACATATATTGGACGAATAATATAGATGTACAGGTAAAGCTATTTAGATGGATCATTTTTGAGATATTTTTTTAAAAAAAGTTTTTTTTCAAATATACGATTCTATAACAACCTGTGTCTGTGTAAATATTGAAAATAGACCACTCCATCTTATATTAGTTTTCAAGATCAAGGAATCATGTTGTGACTTAAATAAAATTAATACAAAACATCTTTTTTAAAAGTTTTGAAATATTGAAAATACTTTTGTGTTGGTTTCAAGAATTAAAACTTAAAAATGCTTTCAATGGATAATATATTTAGTGAAGTATGTATAATAATAGATTAGATCTAGTCTGTATCGCACGATTGCTTTTATTCCTTTTTTGAAGGAATAGTTTTCTAAATTTGTGATCTTTGAATGGTAAAAAATCCCTAAAAATCTGTCTTATTAAATTATATTGTTTCTTCGTAGAAGGGAACATCTACTCTATTAGACAATGCTTAAGTAAAAAATTTTAAAATAGTGCAGTGTTTAACTTTAAGTACATTTTGCAGTCAATTTGAGCACATAATATAAAGTACTATCTTACTTTTATAGATCAGGTACATTAATGCCTCGTTTTTAACTAAGGTAAATAAACTAGAAATTTTATTTCAGTGCAATGATGGCAAGTTTATAAAAGTCAACAAAGATTCCACATGATTAATAGACTTAAGATGCCAAAATTAATAATCCATAAAAATCTGAAATTGTTGTGGACCTTTTCAGTAGTGAGTTCGGGCAAAAAATAAAACAATAAAGCAATTCCGAGCAATTATACAAAGATTTCAGAAACTCTCTTAATCGCTAATAAAATTTTTAATTAAAATTGAACTTTTGTCTTTGATTTCAGGTGGAGCGCAGCAGAGTGAGCTAAAACTGGAAGGAACATAATGCAATAAATATATATCGTTTTAAATACATCAATGAAAACTTATAGAAAGAAAAGAAAAAGATTGAAATTATAGAATTCACTTGGGGCTATAAAACGATTTAATTTTTGTCACCTTCAATTTTTTTATGGATATTTTTTTGAGGACGGAAAGAACGTCAAAAATTGTTATATAATTTTACGTGTGAAAGTTCAAGAGCAACACTTAAAATTCTATTAAAAATTTGGCAGAAATTAAATAAGACAAACAAAATTTGTTTTAGAACTTGAACTCTTTTTCAATTCAAAGCTATATTTACGAATTAAAATTATTTCACACATTTAAATATATTGAAAAACAATTCCAATTAATTCGCATTCAATTTATTTATGTATAAAAATGTGTAATAAACGCTGTTACTTGCACTCCATGACGTCCATTCGATTTATAATTTTGTTGCTACTTTTTGACACCGTGACCACATTGATCTCTGCAGTAATAATTCAAGAGACAATGGATGACTTGCCGGACACTGTGCAACCATCATCAACTACATCTCCAAGTTATGACGAAACGTTTGAGCCAGAAAAATTCAACTATAGATGTCTAAATACTGGTAAGTACGCTACATATTTTTACCTACATAAATGGACTTATAAAAAATTTTTTTATGAAGTACAGTTGCGAACATTAGTTATGCACTTAGTTATTAAGTTATTTTTTAACTCAAATTTTTATGTGCTTTGATTTCGAATAGAAATAGGGTTTGAAAAAAAAACTATTTTTTGAATAAACGCATAAACCACAGCTATATGAGGGTCACTGTTTATATTTTGAGCCTTGGCAACACTGATTATTGTCAGGTGTCATCTGATGTTTTGACATTATTAAACATATTCGTAGCTTAATTTAGACTTTTTTGCCAAAAGAACGTCATTTTTGTTATTTACAGTAATTTCTAAATTGAGTGTTGACGAGAAAATGAAATTAACCCGCGAAAATTTTCGATTTATTACGATGATTTCTAACGACTTTCGACGTAAACAGCAGTCGACTATATGGGTGTTTCAAGATGCACCAAATGCAACAAAAGTTGTTCGCGTTCGAAGCACTTCGAAACAAATGGTCGCTTGTTTTTTTCGTGAAAACTGGTCATGTGGAAACTATACGGATACCAGGAACGTAAAACGACCAATTCCGAATGGTATACAACCATTTGCTTACTGGATGTCTTCAGTGAAATACAGATAACAAACAAGCGCCGTCAATTTATTCTCCATCTCCATCAAGCCAATGCGAGTACTCCCACATCTCGTCTAACAACCGACTACGAGTATTTCAAAAATCAAGTTGATAGGTCATCCGCCATATAGTCCTGATTTGGCACCCAATAACTTCTTCTTGTTCCTGAACGTCAAGAATAAATTGCGTGGACAACGATTTTTGTTGTCCTAAAAAGCCGTTAGTGCATTTAAAAACCATGTTTTGGAGGTGTCTGAAGAATATTTGAAAAAATGCTTTAGAAAATGGTTCAAAAGCCTGGAAAAATATATTAATCATAAAAGACAACCATAAAGCAATTTATGGTCAACGACAAGTTAGTATTATTTCATTATTTGGTTCAAAATATAAATAGTGTCCTTCATATCATTATTCGTAATTTTATATAAAAACTTTTCTTCTTCTTCTTCTAACAATTTCGGCGCTCTGTTTTTGATATACTTTTGTACACTCCCAACCATTAAGTCTTTGTGTATATGTACATTTCTGATGTACCATGAAGCTTTTAGCATACGTCTTAGTACAATATTCTAATAAGTTTGCAGTTTGCTAATTGGAGATGGAGCAACAGTGCCATAAGTAATATAGCCATAAAGTAATTTAGATCTAATTATTTGCTTATAGAAAAGAATTTTATTTTTGATATTCAACTTTTTTTGTGTTAATGGTTTTAGAGCATTCAGAATTATGTTACAAGCCAGCTTTTTAAACCTTATGTTATATTCTCTAACCAAGTGTATCTTCTGTCAATAGTTAGACCAAAATATTTAACATTTTCCTACCATTCCATTTCCACGTTATTGACTTTTATATTCCTTGTTTTTGATTGCTACGTCTTGTAATGAATGGCAATTCTCCACCTTAAGAAGTAACTCATTATCTTATCAATAACAGAATAAGCATTTTTATCTATGTCTATAAGACATACATGCATACATAGATCTAAATAGGCTAACAGCATTATCATTAATGATAATAAGTAAGTAATTAGCTGTTATAATCTGTGGTAGGTCAAAGCCATAATTTCCTAATTTTCGGTGCAACTTCTAGTAATCAATTTCCCGATCGTCCTCTTACCTTAAATCTACCTTGTATTCATTGGAGGGTTCTTTTATTGGACTGCTATCTGGCTTTCAGATGACGCTGTAAAACCGTTTTATTCATTGTGGTTTGAAAAATTTCAAGCTTAATGGTTATGTACATATGGATATATGCTAAAAGGATCCTTAAACTTTCCAAACTTTTTTATTTTGAAGTACGAGAATTTCTTATTTGTCACTTCCATTTCTCAGTAGGAAATAAAGATTTGATGATTTTAATATTTTGAATCAAAAAAAGATTTTCCAAAGCATTCTCTAAATACGAGACTATCTATAGTTAGTTGATGAGATATAATAAATTTGCATAAGTGCACATTCGTGTAGAAAATATATTTGAAATATTAAAGAATTTGGACTGAACTTGAAATTCTTCTATACAAAAAAAAAACCAAACAATCTTCAGCTATTGCAGCTGCAGTGTTGTTGTTTCTTTTGTTACTAGACGATTTGAATTACAAAATATTACTATGGATACATGTTCATAAAATTTTATTTGTCTGCCAGAAGTTTATAGACTTCCCACGTTGATTTATACATTTTTGCTAAATAAGTAAAATGTGTTCTAAGCTTTTATTTTCATTATGTCGGACAACATTGAACTTGAAATTTTCAGACATAACAAAAATTAATTGTGTTTATTCAGATTGTTTATTTTGAAATAATGGTTGTACTTGAATGCACTCGCTCTCTGAATGCATATTGGCACAATGCACAGCGAGTGAAATCGAAAGCGGCTAAAAGTGAAACGGTAAGCAAATTAAATGTATTATGCACTTCTGAGATGGATAACTGTGGGTAGAACCTACTAGCCAGGCTTTATAGGAAATAGTCATGTACCAAATCCGAGCTTAAATAACTCGACCTTAAAAAAAAATAAATGTAACAACTTCACTAAGTAATGAAATATGTAAGCTGTATATATATATATGTACAATATCATATATAAATTCTATCATATATAAATTCATAACTCCGTTTCTCTTCGACCAGATGACAATTTTGACAGTAGGATAAATTTTTAACTGACGTATATAATTACCTAGAAAGGTATATATCTTACAATAAGGTGCACGGGACTTTTCAAAACAAGAATTATTGGTAAAAGATTAAAGGCACACATATATATCATGTAATGAATGGTATGCAAACAGTCGGTACCGACTAAACGGTTATAGTCTTTAAAGTACTGAGATGTAGAGAATAAAACTTTTAACTGAAACAGATAACGTGCAAAATTTGAATACCTTGAAGAATAAATTGAATCCCAATTATTTGTAGTAAGGCACTTAGATACTTTAAGTAATATACTTGAAAATATAATTCATAAAATCTCGGTGAGATTAGTTTCAATATGAATATCTTTATTGTGAACTGTTTTTTATTATTAGAATTATATTTTTTTAATAGCATTAGTGTCGTTTCAAAAAAAAAAATAAATAGGTGTATACTGATAAAGCAGTGGTAATAAAGGATACTTAATTACGATTGTCTAAGTCCTCTAACAAATCGTTCAGTGAGTTCAATTTTAAACTACCTATAATTGGCTTTATTTAACTAAATCGTCTGAGTCAAGAGTGAGACATTTCGAGACCTTTTTTGCAAAACATTTTAACTCTGTGTCTGAAATAGAGTTCAGTTCCAGCAATCACTTGTGATATAGAGCATTGTTTGAGTAAAAGTTAGTTGTTTTCATTAATTATTTATTTATTGTTTTTTTTTTATTCCAAGTGAATAAAATATTTTACGCATCTTAAAATACGGAAGCCAAAATTTTTTCTATCGACAGATTTCGGGAATTACTGTTTACTTATCGTCTGTGTTGTAGTATAATTAGGTCATCAAGTCCATTGTCGCATACTGCACGGAAAAATACTATTTCTATTGGGCTGATATAGCGCCCAATATGTAGATGTGATATTTATTCACATCTACAAGGTTTCAGCTATCATCCAGAACCTTTTTATTAGTCATTTAAAACGATTTCAACAACTCTGTTTTTATTTTTTCGGTTATCATCGAAAACATTATCCATAGGATCAAGCATTATATCCAGCTTATAACCATTATTAATCTTAGCAAATAATCGACAAATAGTGAATTGCCAAAATCATTAAAGTAGAGTTATTAAAACAACTGTAACTTATGAATTAAACAATAAGTAGAGATGAAATTTTGATACAAAATGTGACTTGTAAGTTCTTGAAGTTTAATGGTTTTAAATTTCCAACATTATCTTTCGGATATGAGGGATGCTATATATATTTCTGTGTGTGAGCTCGCGTTGTCATGGTGAACAATGATTCGTCTTCTCTTGTTCGTTTTTCGAATTACTCCGAAGACTTCAGGCAAATAAATTGTGGTGTACCACTCAAAAGTGATTGTCTTTCGCTGCTTAAGCGAAACAGTCGCCACAAGACCAGGTTTGCCGAAGAAACAAGCGATCATTTGTTTCGAAGTGCTTCTTCCATGAACAACTTTCGTTGGATTTGGCTCGTCTTCGAAGACCCACACGGTCAATTGTTGTTTTGTTTCGGGCTCATACACATAGATCCATGATTCGTCACCTGTGACGATCTTATAAACGTCTTTTAAAGCACCATGAACGTATTTTTTTAACATTTCTTTGCACCAATCGACACCAGCCTTTTTTTAAGCGATTGTCAAATTGTGTGGGATCCAACGAGAACAAACCTTTTTTACGGTCAAGTGTTCATGCAATATCGAATGTATGCTGGTGAAGAAATGCGCAAGGATGCCTCTATTCACGGTATATCACATGACGATCGTGCATTATTAGTTCACTCACGGCATCAATGTTCTCTGGCACAACGGCCGTTTTTTGACGACCTTCACGGAATTCGTTATTGAGCGAGCGTCGGCCACGATTGAATTCATTAAACCAGTTTTTCACAGTGCTATAGGATGGTGCTTCATCGCCATACAAAGATTTAAGTTCATCAATGCACTCTTGTCGTGATAATCCACGTTGAAAGTTGTGAAAAATGATCGCACGAAAATGTTCACGTGTTAATTCCATTTTTTGGCCGTGATGAATTTTTCAAGTCTATGTAAATAAAACAATTCATAATTAAATGACAAAACGTTCTAAGTGATGTTATGCTAAAAAATGTCAACCTTTCCAATGAAAATGTCAGATTGCACCTGGCAACACTGAGTGTTGCCTGGGCCAAAAATATATATAGCAGCCCTCGTATTATCAACCCTTTACAGGTTGATGACACAATACATTACCAGATGTGTAGCTGTTGTTTTTATCAACAATTCTATCATCCGGTTATTTTTATTGATATTCAGTAAGAATGAGTGAAACTCTTTCTTAATCGTTTAATTAACAACATAAAGCCATTGAGTATGCATTATTAAAAGATATAGTTTGTCATTGCTCAATATGTGACAGAAGTAAACATTTTAATAGTAGCTTTTATGTTAAGTACTTCTTGAGCATATCATATCCTACTTTGGACTATATATATCCGAACTTACTAACTTAGTCACGCAATAAAATGAGGTTACAATGTACTTGACGGCTATCTACATTTTTAACACAAGTATAATGTCTGTTATTAATTAATACCAACTAAGCCTTTAACATTTTAAATTTGTCTTCAATTGCAGATGAAAGCGCTCGTGAGGACTCACTTCGCATTGGTTTGCAAATTACAGAAGATCCCTTGCATCAAATCATGACGAGGATATTTGCGATTTTTGTTCAGAATGTCCTCACATATGAAAATGTGGAACTTACAAATTTTGACGTCTATGGCAACAAATTTGGGCAAGAAGATCAGTTCCATATGTTAGAAGATATGACGTGAGTTTTCGAAAGTCCACATTAAAATTTTGAAAAATTACTAAAAATTTATTTTTTTATTGCATAGTTCTTTTTTTGTTGAGTATAAGGTTACTATGATAAATGTAGGAGTCAGAATGCCACCAGGATTGTACATAAAAGTGCCGGCACATATTTATGAAGTTGGTTCTTCAATGCCGTCTGGCCGATTTGGTTGGTTTGTTCCTGAGTATCAAATAGATCGAACCATACTTGAGGGAGGAGCCAAATTCGGCGATTCTTTTGATGGTCTTCACAACTCCGCATATTTAAACCCGTTAAATCCATTTTATCAGCAGAGTATAATAGATCATGATATCTTAAAATCATTGCTCGAAAATAATGGGTGAGATTGTTGACTTATGTAAAAAGTTTTAAATATATTTATTTAGTGTTTTCTAAGTGCGGAAATGCATGTGAGCGCTATGTGCAAGCATCAACACCAATGCGTTACTCTTATTGCTGAGTACAAACTTGATTCAAATTTTATAATAGAACATATAAATGAAACGAGCAGTTTTCTTAATGTTCTTTGGCTGGGTCCAAATTTTCGTGAAAAACTTGCTTGGTTACATAACCTCTACCAAAACGATTCCAGATACAAAGATAAAAGGTTTATTGTCTTGCATTGGACACCCTCTGATGTGATTGATGGTACTTTCAAGTATAGGAGTATTGTGATGCCACGTTGCGAACAATTGGATTCGTTAATGAATTCGTTCTGTAAATATGAATTGACGCCTGTATTGAAGTACTTTTACAAGAAGGCATCCAATGAACGTTATTTGTTGCATGCTTTACATAACTTTCGCCTCGAATCTCAAGACTTACATAATTTGATAATGCTGCAACAAAGCTATATGCCACATAATGTCACTAATTTGCAAATGTCAATAGGTGATGTTTACAATAAGGTTGCTTGCGACTGGCTGCTTCATAATAAGGATAGTTACATGTCATGGATGAGACCTGATATTAAAGAACAAATTAGAATAGGCGGCATTTTTCCCATAAATGATACTAGTCGCGGTCATCAAAACCTTGTATCAGTCATTGATAGTGCTGTTGAAGCGGTTAAGAAAGATTCAACAACATTAAGCAATTACGAATTCATTGTACCTAAAAATGACGGACAATGCAAGCCAGATGAAGTACTTAAATCATTTATACATTTCTTTTTTATAGAAAATGTTTTAGGAATTTTGGGTCCAGCATGTAGTGAGACTGTGGAACCAATTGCTGGAATATCAAAACATACAAACATGACAGTCATATCCTACTCAGCTGAGGGTGCTTCCTTTGTTGATAGAAAAAAATATCCATATTTTTTTAGAACAATTGGATCAAATTGGCAATATGTGGATGCCTACATAACTTTAATGCAACGTTTAAATTGGCGACGTGTAGCTGCACTAACTGAAGATGGCCAAAAGTACACGGAGTATCTGTCACATATGGAAACAGTTATGAAGGAACAAGATCTTGAACTCATAGCTAACAAGAAATTTCTAGCTGAAGTGAGTCCGGAAGAAATGAACAAGGTAAGTTCACTTTCGAATATGTATTAGTTTTGTTTTGCTATTACGAACTTCAACAACAACAGATACTTAGAGACTTGAAGCAGCGGCATGCCAAAATTATTATAGCAGATATCCACAATCGAAACGCTGAAGTAGCTTTGTGTGAAGCCTATAAGTTGGAAGTACGTATAAAAATTTGTCTTTAACTGATATCTATGAATTTGACTAATTGTTTTTTAATTTGTTGTTGCAGATGACTGCATATGAAGGTTATGTGTGGTTTTTACCGGCATGGCTGTCAAAAAACTTTACCTCAGTTCACCAATTAGCTTACAATTACAGCTGCACTAGCGAGCAAATGAAAAGGGTATGCACTTCTTATATCAAAACATTATATTATAGAACTTCAGGAGTTCGCCCCCTAGATTTCAAAATGTTATGATTGTTTTGAATAAAAATTTAATACTGTTTACAAGAAAAGTATCAGCGCCCCTCTACCTAATTTCGGCCCTGGGTACGCCCATGGTTGCTGGTGACCAAACATTTTTTCCAATTAGTCCACAAATCATTTGTTATTGCTATGCGGAACTTTTCTACACGTCTAAATAGTTTACAAATCGGGGCCTATAGTGAAGTGTTGGCTTTACTTATATGTATTTCAAAAACCTCTTCTGACAATATTTATATATCGAGGAACATAGAAAAGAGAGACCTTGGGATTTTAGATGAGCATTTATGATGTACGGTATTTCATGACCGTCCTCGATTTCACCATTCTAGATTGGATTGTTTTTCATGCTGCCTGACTGTCTGTAAGAATAGTGATGTTTAAAGAACGTTTTTTTCTAACTTGTGTTAGTGTAACTGCATTTTCGATTATATTGAGAGTAAAAGAGTACATTTTTGAGACCGTTCTTTCCTAAGCTGTTATTTATTTGCAAGAACTCACCGAAACCAGATTAGCTATTGATTCAAAACAACTATTTTAGATTTTTCTAAACGTAATGTATGAAAATTTTTTAGCTTTGATTACAAGTTTTATCATATATTTTCCAATATATATACCTTTTATAGCCAGTGTCTGGTATTCAGTCCAATTATCGAATACAATGAGTTTTTGATATAAACTTATTTCTACTCAGCTGTAAAGCTTTGAGTAACAAGTATTCCATTAAATATCTGCATCGCTATTGGAAGAAGTTATTTTTCATTCAGTTTTCTGTACGTATTCTCCTTACAGGCGCTTAACTTATTTCCATGTCGGCGAAATTATGTAGGCCTGTGAAGCTGCTTCGCTATATAACTTATATATACACAGTATATATGAAAATTTGATTCAAAGTATTATAAATTGTGTATGTACTATTTTGATAATAACATTTATAAATCAATTATTCTACATATTATTTTTTGTGAAGCCGCGCTAATAATTTTTATTTTTTAGGCTTTTGAAGGACATTTCACAATAATGCACACACCATTTGGATCACCTAAATCAATTATGCAAGAAAATCGAACCATAGAAGACTGGCTGATCAAAAATAATAGCAGTGGTATTTCGAACTACGCTGGATTTGCTTACGACGCTGTGTGGACATACGCCTTGGCTGCCGACAAATTACTTCGCGAATATAGTGAAGCTGTAAACAATTTACGCTCTGAAACAGTCACAAAGCGTTTAGCTGAGATAATTTGGGAAACAGATTTTGAAGGGTTATCTGGTCGAGTGCGCTTTGGTCAAGGAGGCTCAAGAATAACTGATCTTGATATTAAACAGTGGCGACAAACAGGATTTGTGCAAGTTGGTCAATTCAAGCCAAAAATCGTTGGTATTAGAAGCGCTATGCACACTGAAGGTGGTGACTTGATTTTGGATTCTAATACCATTGAATGGCTCTCAGCTACTAAACCACCTGGCGATGGAACATATGATTGCACATTTGCTGCATTGGCCAAAACACTGAATACAGATTGTGATAGTGCAGTCGTTGTGTTTACCACTATACTCTGTGTTTTGGCTGTTGTGACGGTATCACTTATTTCATTCTTCTTTTGGAAACAACGGTACGATAGTAAGCTCGAACGTTCAGCGAAAATCATGAAAACGTTCGGTATTGATTTGTTATCGCCTTCACGCAATAAGAATAACACCTTAGACAAATGGGAGATACCAAAAGAAAACGTGGTTATCAATCGACGTTTAGGTGAGGGCGCATTTGGTACTGTGTACGGTGGGGAGGCTCAACTTACATCTGAATGTTGGACAGCAGTGGCTGTGAAAACACTTAAGGCAGGTGCATCTAGCGAAGATCGCTTGGACTTTCTTTCTGAAGCTGATGCTATGAAGCGTTTTCAACACAAAAACATTGTAAAACTACTTGGTGTTTGTCTACAATCTGAACCGATTTATACCATAATGGAATTTATGTTGTACGGTGATCTCAAAACTTATTTACTGGCGCGTCGGCACTTGGTTAACGATAAAACAACTGATGATTCTGATATTTCACCAAAGCGATTGACTATGTACGCTTTGGATGTTGCTAGAGGTTTATCCTATTTAGCGCAGCAAAAGTATGTGCATCGCGATTTGGCATGTCGCAATTGTTTAGTAAATGCACAACGGGTAGTGAAGTTAGGCGATTTTGGTATGGCAAGGCCAACATTTAATAGCGACTATTATCGTTTCAATCGCAAAGGCATGCTACCAGTACGTTGGATGGCTCCTGAGTCTTTGGCATTAGGCATGTTCACACCTGCCTCAGATGTTTGGGCTTTTGGTGTGGTTATATATGAGGTTATAACTTTCGGCTCATTCCCTTACCAAGGTCTCACTAATAATCAAGTATTGGAATTTGTGAAAAGTGGCAAGAAACTGCAAATACCAAATGGTGTGAAACCACAATTAGAGGGCTTACTAAATGCATGTTGGAGTCAAGATGTTAAGAAGAGGCCAACTGCAACAGATTTAGTCGATTACATATCCAATTATCAGCGACTATTAACGCCTTGCCTAGATTTTCCAAGTGCCTCTGTTGCAATGGCAGAAACTGAAAGTGATGAAATGGAACTGCTTCCAAAGTTACGCAAATGTTCACCACAGACCGACACAACATTGGACTTGGATATAGTATCTCAAGCAAGTCTGCAAAACAATTTCGAACGCAGTAATCAATTAATACAGGACATGCCGCCAACACAACCAGTGGAAAATCTCTATGTAAATCCAATGAATATTGAAACGTTTTCTGCAGTAACACCCGATGGCTACAGTGTCATGTCCCCACTGTTAATGCACCAAATAAGCGAAACCTCGAATTCTTCACAAGCACGTCTCTTGCCATCAGCGCCAGCTGAGAGACAGGAACAAACACCATTTTAGCCAAAACTATAATTTAGTGTACCATATAAAAGTATATTAAGTCTTCCTTTTGCCAATCAACTAAAATTTTTTGTTAGGATTGGCAACAGAATTAGTTCTTAATTATCAGAACGTTACACAGGGAGAATTATATTGTGAGCAATCTAAGCATATACGGGTGCATCTATAAACCTATCTTATATGTTAACAATGTTGTACCAGCAATGTCCAGATAAACAATGCCAATGTCTACAAGCCCTCCCGCAATAGCACTTCATGCAGTATTTTTTATTGTTTAAACTGCTTTTCTTAAGAAAGTTTTTCAAACAAATTCATTTCAACAATTACTTCATCCCGCACCCGTTCAAGTAGTTGCCGAGTGAGCAAACAAACTTTTTATTATATATAAGTTACTCTAAGCTATATTTGGATTTTGAATATAATAAAAGACTGTTTTTTAATTACTATTTACAGATTATTTAAGCATTTAACTTTTTCAAAATTTTGTAAGCCGTTGAAAAGCGCGCACTGACAATGGAAACACTTTAGCTTTAGCCAATGTACAAAAATTTGAACAATTTTTTTACTAGTCAAAATAGGATAATGTAACTGCGAGCATTCAGTCGAATCTAATAAAATGTAAAAGTAATCCTTTCTGTAAATAGGGCAACCATATTTTAGATTTAAGCAATGTGCATGTGCGATAGCACTTACTAGGCAGCAACGGTTCCGTATAAAAACTACAATACAGCTGGATTTCTCTATAACGAAATCATCTGGATCAGCAAAACACATCGTTATGAAGAGATTTTGCATTTTGGGAACTTAAGAATATTTTTTTTAATATTAATTTTTTATATAAAAAATATATAAATGTGCAAATACCAAATTAACTTTTTCATGTGCTTGTTTGTTTAAACGCTTATACAAGATTGTAACATATTTTTAACATTACAAATTGAAACATATTCAATGTCAAATGTGACGCATCTTATGACGAAAAGAAACTAGAAGGGTTCAAACAGCAATAAAGAAGCAACAAGAACAATTTGTTTAATAAAAATTCAAACATATCCTAAGATTACTGATGTTGAGTACTTGGCAATATTCGAAACAAAGCTGTACGGTCAACTAAATTTCAATAAATTAAACAATTTTTAGTTGTTGCTTCTTCTTCACTCTTTGAATCCTTCCAACATATTCATTTATATATTTATTATTTCAATTAATATCCTAACGCTTCACGTTTGGCGTATTGCTTGCCGGTTTCTTCGGGAGCAAATTTTCTTCTCACCACGATACCTAAACTGAAGCCACATATGTATATACTTTAGAAATATATTTAATTCACATATATTCAAATAAATATGTATAGATACATTAGTATATATTAGCATGTAATGTCTGAATGATATTACTGAGATATATCTGTGATAAGATTTTCTAATATCTGAGAATTTTATGTAACTACACATCTTATACTAGGAGAAACGCAAATAATGTTGCTTTTTTTTAAATACGTTGCATTTGAATTATTTGTCATGTAGACTAATCTTTTATTAAAACAAATATTTGGGTTCCTGATAAAATTTCGTTTTATAGACTAATTCGTTATATAGACAGACGTCTAACTACGTAACAAAAAATTGAAAAATTGCCGCGTTCTCAAAAAAAAAATGCGTTTTAAACAGGAATATATTATAAGTGAGGTTTGCTATGAAGACGTCCGGATGTAGTTTAATTTAATAGTGAATTTAATGCACAAAAATAATTAGTTTTAAGGTATATAATTTATACACTTTTTATATTTATATATATTAGTTTCTAAGAATGGAGTAATATAGGATGAATAACTGCTAGTTCAGCTCTCAAAATATTAGCAATGACTTTGTTTCTTACTACTTAAGTATGTTCCTATTGACCTAAATAAAAACTTTAATTCAAAATTTTTTGTGTTCCTAATTTAATAATATTTTAAAAGACAATTGTTTTTCAGCGATTTCATCCGATTATTAAATGGTAGAATAATCAAATTATCAAATTCAAATTATCAGACTTAGAACAAAATTGTTTAAATATTTTTCTACGAGATAGCAATTCATGGATATTTAAGAAATAACATTTTAGATTCATTTTTAAATGATATGTTATTTGAGAATCATACTCGGTATATGTAATATGTTGGAAGCTCATTGAAGTTACTCGCATGATTTTTGAAAGTCCATTTTAATATTAGCTGTAATTTTTTCTTTCAGAGTAGCAAAAAAATACTCGCAACTTACGAAAGAAAACATGTGAAGCAACAACAATGCTCTTGAAATTTTCAGACTTACATTTTACTCGCAAAAAATTTTCAGTCTTGTCTTAAGTTTCAGAATTTTCATTGGAAATATGCTCCAAAATTCTAGTCAAAATCATATGAGCTTTTCATTTACTAATAAATTCAAATACATAAATAAATTAATTAATTTAAATAAATAAGATAAAAATGCTTGCCATTGAACTTCTAATATTCATTTTGTTTTCTTTTATTTAAATTAATTAATTTTTAGTGTTAATAATTTTTGTATATCATATTGTACACAACAAAAGAAAAAACATGTGTCAAAAATAAGCATTTGAGATATTTTAAAAGTGTTGCCAATTTGTTTCAACTAAACTTAATGCTGTTTTTTTTAACAACTCTGAAAGAAAAAATTACTACTATTATTAAGGATACGATCCTTGAATGTATGCGGATGAATGCAAAATAGATAAACTTTAAACTATAGTATATAGGACATAAGTTTTAATTCTACTACAATTTTTTTCAAAATAAACATATGACTTCTATTTCTTTTTATCTAAAAGATGCGAAGTCTATCATCTTTGTTAACTCTCACAATTTATCTAATTTGGATGATGTCACTGCTATATGTATATATATATTAAATCCTTTAATTCCTAGGAAGAGCATAGGGCCGCATGTCAAATGAGCTAGGAAAAATAAATTACAATGACGCGTTTATTTTATTTGTAAACTATACTCGTATGTGAGATATTGTGCCATATATTTTATATGTGTATATCTATATGTATATACCATATCTATATATATGTGTATCTTTTAAATGCACAAAAAAAAATTTTTATTAACGGCTTCGCAAAAAATTTGACATAGAAGCGTCTAGACCTCATCATAATTAGCACTCAACACAGAAAGCTCGGAGCTTAACATAGAAAGTAGCATTAATAAATTTTTTTTTTGTCCTGTTTCAATTTTCATTGTAGACTCCTTTCGTCTTGATAAATAAACTATATCCTAATATTCAGGTGTTTTTCACAGATATAAATAATGATTTAAGTTGAGATTTTTAAAATATACACTTATTGCTTGAATAATCTTTCTATTAGGCAAAGCCAAACATTCTTTCGAACCAAATATTCACTGAAGCATTCAGCAGATACAGAAAATACTTCGGTGTTTTCTGAGAATACTGAACTTTGAGGCGACAAACATATCGTAAACATATCTGACATACTTTCAAGTCTTGTTATTTAGGCTTATTCTGTTAAAAAATATTGAAATTCTCATGAAAAAGTGAACTCGTCATCGCCGAAGACAATGTGTTCTTCAACTCTAATAATAACTTTAACAGAATTGTGACCTCAATAATAGGTTTTACTCAGATTAAAGATTTTTTTTTCATATTCATATACGATGCCACTGATGGTGAAATCAAACAATCGGCAACTTCGTTTGGACTAGTAGTCACTAAACTATATTTTAAAAAAAAGAGCATTCCGTATTGTTTACTACAGTAATCCCCCCTATAACGCGAAACCCTTATGACGCCTTTTCATATTACGCGATTAATCCCTCTCGCATAACACGGGCATTCCCCCACATAATGTGGGGATTTGTAAGTTCATAATTAGCTTCGCGTACCTTTGCACGTGTGTATGCGGGGTATACGGAAATATCACTATAGCGCGTTTTCCTATAACGTGTTTTCCTATAACGTGTTTTCCTATAACGCGGAATCAATCCATCGCTTTATAGGGGAAATTATTGTATTGCAATCAAAAGTAATATGCGTTCATCCTAAAAGTATACTTTTCATAAATTTAAAAGGGAATTCTGGTTAGTATATGCCCTATTTTCATATTGTATAGTATTGAAATGTAACATTCGGGACCACAAACGTGTACTACACAGTAATAATAACACAAGTAGGAAGAGAAGATACGCACTTTGAAGGAAATGAGTATGGCACCCACTTCTACAATTATATACTTATATTTATTTCAAGTACGCCTCTCCATGAATAATTTTTCTAGTCGTATTTATGTTAAAATTGTTCTTGGTTTTTGTGAAAAAATATATATAGTTAAGAACTTTAAAAAACACTTATCATGATTTTATTAATATGTAATATATTAACATGGATGGTTTCCGTATGCATTCACAACAAAATTTTATTATATATGTGTATAGATATAAACAGTGATATTAATTTATACGCCTGTAAATCTATATATTTATAATAACATATACACAGAAATTCATATATTCGTATATATTTATGTACTCCTCAATATTTATATGTGTATTAAATAGCAAATAAGCTAAGGTTGAATACTTATTGTCGGAAGTAATAAAATAAGTGAAACCGATTTTATAATATAGGCTGAAATTCACTATATCTAAGCATAGTTTTTCGTCTTTCTAAGTTACGCAGATGTAAAATTCCATTCAATTTAATCTCACTTTATATATTTTGAGGGCCAGTTAGTAAAGATATCAATAATTGCAATTACTTTATTATTTAGCAGGTAGATAACAGTTCATTTTCAATTAGTCAGCAGCAAGATCCCATATAATGGATATGTAACTATTAGAATCTTAAAAATATATTAATACAGAACAATTTATGCTATTTAACTTTTAAATATGTTAAATACAGCCCGGTAACAAATTATTATAATTATGTTAAATACATTTATTTGTGAGTCTTTTGTTCCTATAAAAGACATTTAATACTAAATATTTTCTTAGCTATTGCTCCATAAAAAAAGCACCCAGATATATAATACAAATATTTTATACAATATGCGATTTATTAGGTTTTCATCCTGACAGGTAATTTGGATGAAGTTATGAAATTAAATCTTACGTAGTGTTTATATTAAACCAAACAAGTCGATATAGACATTAATTGAACTATATATACATCGATTAGTCTGAACTAGATGAGAATTATGATTTAAATAGGTTAACAAAATTAAGTTAAGTGCTATATTTTTTCATGTAAGGATATTCGTAACTGAAAATTTTTAAGAACATATTAAATCGGAGGCCTATTGATGGAGGCAAACGGATAATTCCTACTATCTTAATAATATAATATAAAGATATTTAAAACAATATAATTCGAGTATATTTTTGTATTTATTTTCAATTACTATTAATTAGGCATTTTTATAATGAAACAATATACATACTGAAACTTATCAACTTTTCCAAATACAATAATACAATGATACAATGGATGAAAAAATGGATGAGTTTTACTTTTCAAGACAAGGTTGTAAATAAAACGTTTGGAAGTAACACCAATAAAACTATTGTCGTCTCGTAAGTCATTATCTTAAAAACGTGACGGTGTATTAAACTTAAGTATTTTTGACAATTACTCTAAACTATATTTTTGACTATAAACTATAACATATAGATGAAACTACAAAATTATTATATATAAAATTTTCCGTGAAAATAAAAATTTGTACAAATATCCTATACGGATATAAATAATATTTTATAATATTATTTTAGTCTTATGATTATTATCAACTAATAAGATTAAATTAAATTAAAGAAAAATAAATTTGAATGTTTTTATTTAACTGGTAGAGTCGACGGAGATAATTTTGAAGAATTAATTAATCCAATTAATATAATATAGTTTTAAAAAAAGGTTTTACTTATTATTTTTTGATTTAGATTTATTATGAAATTTTATTAGAATACTGAAATTTTCCTAATAACAATAGTTCATATAATTCGTACACACACAAAACTGATGTTTAATAGCATTTTTAAAAAATTATAATTAAATATTAATTTTTTATTTCTGATTCGTGTTTTACTTAATAAATCAAATTTTCAAAATAAGTAATATTTATTAATTTATTATTTATTTTTTTAATTTAATTTATTATAATAATTATATTAGTTATATTATTTATTATCTGTATTATTTTCAAAAGAATTTGTAAAAAATGTATTCACTGACTGATGTTACATCGTTCCATATTTTAGAAGCTATTAGAAATATATATAATGACTTATATGAATACAAAAATATATAATGTGAAGTATTTGTGATACATATATATTATTTCATAAAAATATATATAAATTGCAAAACTATTTTGTGCAAAAATTCCTATGTAATCGAAAATGTGTTGATATTATAAATTTATTTTAATTTAAGAATTTTTTGAAAACTATACATGAGTTAGTTATAGGGACATTTTTAGCATATAAAATAAATTAATATTACAAAAAAAATTTTATTAACAAAATTAATTTAAACGTTTTTATTGAACGTATTCAATTTTACACTGTAAAAAAAAAACCCGAAAAATATACTACAAAAATATTTGTTTTTTTTAGTGATTTCAGTTGCTGAAGTGAAATACGGGATTAATCAGTTTTTGAAAATACTTCTAAAAATAAATATATATACAGAAAAAAATATAGATTTAAGAATAAAATTTAATATTTAATAAAAATAAGATAAATTTTTTTATGGTATTGCACTCAATGCGTTTGTACTTGATGTGAGATTTGATAAATTTATTTTAAATAATTAATATTTATTTTCAAAAATATTATTATTTTAAAAAACTCTTTTTTTAAAACATAATTTAA